CTCAAGATATTGAGTTAGGTATATCAAGTTACAGGACGTTGAAAAAAAGGTGGACATAATGTCTTAGAAATGATTGAAGCACCAAAATGTCAGTGGGTTAGTAACGGCATAGTGTGCGTATGAAATGGGTTACCACAGATACACAGATCGTTCTTCGTCTCCATGTGTGTATGTTCTGCGTGTAAGTCTATAGTAACCAGGTGCCATAATTGTTGTTTCAAGAGACTGTGTCCGCCTTTTTTTCTACGTCTTTGGGTATATTCTGTCGATTCATTCGTACAAATTGTTCCAGACGATCAGAGTCAACATTAACAGACTGAGGATGAGGCCTTAGTTCCGCATTGGAATTCTAGACGATGATATTTTTAAAGTCAATCTAATTTGATTTATGACAAAGGCAAGTAAAGAATCAGCAAAGTTCTCAATTATAGCACTAAGTCTTGAGGTCAATGTAAAATGTAAACATTGAATTATCTATTTCTAAATATGACCCCAACTCCTGCGCTATGTAAGAGAGAGCTGAATATTAAACGCGCAGCTATTTCAATTAGGTCGCCTCCACTCGCCACACGCGTACATCGACGGCAATCCGATTACAATTTACTAACTAATGAACTTTCATTGTTTATTTGTCAATAACAGGACCAAAGGACCAGGCTAATTTGGTCCTTTTGGGTATACGTACGAAACTGTACTTTGAATCGAATTTTCCGTGAATAATTTGTGTGTTGAATATGCGGATAACATAGTCACATTCTCCGATAGGCTACTTACTTATATTGATTCCAAATAATAAACAAAATATGAGATCAAATTGTTGTTAATCCAAGGAAGAAAGGGATAAGCTTGTCATTATACAACGATAACAACTGTAATCTAAGTTTGAAATGTTATTGTAGATGAAAATTAATGTTCCTGCATGCGTTACCCAAGGTCACTTATGCTACGCTCTGAGCTTAACTCAATACGCTACGGGCTCAGCAGCTACGCTCTATAAGTAGTTGCGCTCGCCCGACTATCAATGCTATGGATTGTCTTGCTCGTTCTTCTCCATAGGAATTTACACCTTGGATTGAGCAAATAGCTTCACTTTTAATTTTTTGTTAACGTGCCTTTCTGGTCTAACTGAATTAAATAATTTTGACTTTGACCTATCAATATGCGAATACAAACGTAGTAAAGCTAAAGAGATATATTCTAGGAACGATTATTAGTTCAGTATTTTAACTTCATAACAGTATGTCATCATCATCATTAATAGCCAATAATTGAGAAACCGCTACTGCCTCACACGCATTAATAATCGCCATGCTTGCTCAATGCGGGTTGGCTATTTCAAACTTATAATTAGAAATTTTAAAGTCCAGGTTTCCTCACGATGTTTTCCTTCATCGTTAATCAGTGGTGTCTAAATAATTTAAGAAAGTCATAACAGTATACATTTATGCCTACTTCTTCTGTACAACACTACACGATCCTCTCTTTATCTACAACTTCAAGGAAAAGAATAAAATATTTTGCAACGAATCGCTAAAAAGATCACTCATACATACGAAAAATAATTAAGAGTCAACTACTCTAATAATGTTTATAAAATAAACCTAAACATCTATCATTTATTAACTCTAAGCCGTAGAGAATAAGGGTTATTTTGCAACAACTACCGAGCAATTTAAAAGGTATGAAAGCTTTGGCAAGCTACTGGCATTTGACGACAATTTTTGTTGCAATGTGATGTATCTGAGCTACGTAACAATGAAGGCGTTTTGTTTATGACTTCGGGTCTTAAGTTTAAAATAAATGCACCTGTCTTATTCCCACCTCCTTTGGTGTGTGTAGTTTGATGAAGATGCGTAATATTTTTTAACGCCTATAATATTACCAAACCAATCTAAACCGCCTATATATACCGCCAAACAATCTATTGGCCTATTAAATTAACTGGTAAAAATGTTAAGTTGGTAAAATGTTAATGTTACGCAATGCCGTCACGCGATTAACTTCTATTCAACTAGCTCCTGTCCAAGATATCGCAAGTACACAAAGGAACCTAATTTCTGTGGCTTTAATAAAACACTATCTTCAATATTATCCAGGGTTCCGTCATATTCATTATACCTTTCGGCTTTCTATGACGAGAAGCTCCAACTATGATTCTTCAAAAGGAGGTGTTTGTAAACATTAAAAACCTTTGAACCTGTTTCTATGAAGATACATTATATTACACACTTTCTAATGTATAAAAGAATGTTCAAGTGTCCTCATTATTTTTTACCAAAATAAATCAACGCGAGGGATTATTGGAAAGAATACAAATAGTTGGCAGCTTTGCTCACAGCATTGCACACTTTATATTGTTTGTTAAATATTGTAGAACCAGGCTAACGACGGCGTCGTCTATCAACGTGTGTTTAACAACGACACATTGTTCTTTATGATGTTAATGGGAACATTTGACATTACAGGTAAATATCCCGATACAATCATGAGATTTTACACTGGTTCAAATACTTAAAAATTCGTGATCTTCAGTCATCGTCATCAACTGTCAGTAAGAGTCTACTGCTAGACTATCGGAATCCTCTAGAATCAGAGGTGTCATTATCTCCACGCGTAGTAAGCGGGTTGGAGATCGCAATTTAAAAATACTCAATTCATCAAAGATCGCTAATATCCGGTCTCTGTTAAATATTTAAAATCAAGCAGTTCCATAGCGGATTCTTAACTTTTTAATGTCCAGTTATGAAAAATCTACAAGGTTTGTTCATACAAAAGTAGTCTCTAAACATCGGAAATAAAGTATATAATGCAATGGCTGGAGAGTAGTCACCGGTGATTGCGTGGCTCCTGACCAGTGATACCCGCGGGAAGAGGAGGGGTGATGATAAATGTAATCTACTACATTGTATGTGTATGTGTGTCTTCACTAAATTCGTAGTAACAGCCTCAAAATGTGCCCCGACTTTATTTATCTGCGGTCTCAGTCACGCTTAACAACTGAAAAGGTATCACAAATAAAATTATGATTGCATACCTGATCGACGCGTGAAGTCAAAGTTAAAGTCAAGACTCAAAATCATGTAATTCAATTAGACAAGAAAGGCACTTTTAAACGTCAAAAAAAATTAAAAGTGAAGCTATTGACTCATTCCAAAGTGTAGATTCCTATAAAGAAAAAACTCCATAGGTTACTCTATTTCAATCAGGTTCACAATACATACAGTGAATAATGTTACGTGGCATCCCTCGTGAGTCATAGCCAATAATTAACACATGTTAGTACATAGTGTTTATACTTAGTGACATTCTAATATCTCTCTGTTGATAACAGAGACTTTTATAGTAGTAGTGTACGCTGCCAAACTACTGATGTCACTGCATTGTGATAACAAAGCTGAATCACCAGATATTTGTAGTTCGAAGAGCTTACAGACATTGTTTGAATGCCAAAGGAAGGATTGACGTGAAGACATAACTGGGATCGGACACTGGTTACAGGTGTTTAAGCAGTTGATCGAAAGATAATTTTGACCCGATATAAAATACTAGATTAAAACTCTGAGTAAAGTAAAGTATTATTAGATATCGATTGCGACAGCACACTACCACAAAATACAACAGAAAAAAAAAAACATATGTCACAGTTTCGAAAGTCATCAAGTAGTCTAAATCATTTGTAATCTAAAACCAAACATTCTTTTGATGCCCTCACAAAGTTAAAATATATTTAGATAGAAACTTTAAATAGGAATGATTAGGTTATAGATGAGTATTTACAGCTAAATTCAAATAAAAGAAACGAACTGAAACAGCAGTTGATAGTAGTAGCTAATATGAAGAAGATTACTGAGATTAATTGGTCCAAAGATCTGAGTTTATGTTGTTGGTTATGGCGACACGTGTTAGGCAAAGACGATAAACATGAATCAAATGTGGTATGCTATCATTAACTAAGAGCTAAAGGATCAATCAATGATTGTCAGTAAAGAAAAGGTGTGGCAGTGTGTAAACATTACAATTAGTGAGAGAAGCAAAGTGACTAACACCACGTACCAAAAGACCAAAATACAACTCAAAGCTTCGAAGTTAGTAGGGGAGATACAAGGCAGTCGCATACACCGATGCTCCTGAAATAGCCGTGGATATTAAACACAGTTTGAGGGAGATACACAAAGGTTACCTAACCCGTTACTCCTATGTTTCTACGTAACTGATAGTAATTAATCCTCATTCAATATCTTAAGTCTTGAACTTGAATGAACCGCATTACAACACAAGTGTCAGAGCCCTCAACAATTCAAATTCCTATCGAGTAAAAAACTCCGAAGCGGTAACACGATAACAAATTGGATTCCTGCCACATTCACATAATTTCGAATGAACACTATTTATAACTTGTTCCTAATCACACAGCAGTAAACAAGAGTTGTCGTCATATCGACGTATTGCGCCTAATATTCGTGGTACAGATGTAAACTGAACGCGCCGGGAGTCTGTTGTATTAATAGACATGCCGAACCAATGGCTTCTTTTACTCCAGCGCGCTCTCGCGATATTTACGGAAACACGTGGTGTATGCTAATATTTAGCTTATTGTAAGCTACTAAAGACTAGATTCGAATGGCAGGCGTGGCAGCGCCGCCCCAAGATATTACGATAAAATTAGAAAATGCTTTTGGCCGCGGGAGTTGTCTTTACTATTTATGGTAGTGCACGCGCTGGTTAATTCTGACGCGTGTGGTAACCTCCGCTTCTAATTTTATATTCGAACCCCGCTCTCTCTAGGGGAAGTGTACCTACTCTTGTATGTTAGCTATGCCTACTTGTCATTCCAATGAATTTGAAAAGTGTAAAGTAGGCGGCGATTGATCGCCGGAATGTTGGCAGTGAGTGTGACCCACATATAGACAGGTGCGATCTACTGACTCACTTAGCTGTCGCATGAAACACTACACCGCAGGGGGAATGCGGGTTGGGGACTCCAAACAAAAACCAAAGTCAACGGTTGTATAAAAAGAAATAATGTAATTAAAATAAATAAATTAACCGTTTATTTATTAATTACATTTGGCGTGAGATCCATAACGATCCCGTGTATATAATAAAAATAAAAAAAAGAAAATTAAATTTATATAAATTTTACAATAAATTACATTACAATAGATGGCGTTATCTTAGATGTTCAGTTCTGTCAGGTATCACTACGTACAACGTACAAATGCTAGAGTTCCTTGCGGAACGAGAGCACCACAATACACAGCACTAGGGTCACGCAGCAGCGGCGCAGCAGCCCCGCGCATGCGCGAGGGTCACGTGCACGCTTAGAAGCACTTGCGGTGGACGATGCCGGGGCCGGACTCGTCGTACTCCTCCTTGGAGATCCACATCTGCTGGAAGGTGGACAGGGAAGCCAGGATGGATCCACCGATCCATACGGAGTACTTCCTTTCGGGGGGAGCGATGATCTTGATCTTGATGGTGGAGGGAGCCAGGGCGGTGATCTCCTTCTGCATCCTGTCGGCGATACCGGGGTACATGGTGGTACCACCGGACATGACAGTGTTGGCGTACAGGTCCTTACGGATGTCAACGTCGCACTTCATGATGGAGTTGTACACGGTCTCGTGGATACCGCAGGATTCCATACCCAAGAAGGAAGGCTGGAAGAGGGCTTCAGGGCAACGGAACCTCTCGTTACCGATGGTGATGACCTGACCGTCGGGAAGTTCGTAGGACTTCTCGAGGGAGGTGGAGGCGGCAGCGGTGGCCATCTCCTGCTCGAAGTCGAGGGCGACATAGCACAGCTTCTCCTTGATGTCACGAACGATTTCCCTCTCAGCGGTGGTGGTGAAAGAGTAACCCCTCTCGGTGAGGATCTTCATGAGGTAGTCGGTCAAGTCGCGACCAGCCAAGTCCAGACGGAGGATGGCGTGGGGCAGGGCGTAACCTTCGTAGATGGGGACGGTGTGGGAGACACCATCACCGGAGTCCAGGACGATACCGGTGGTACGACCAGAGGCGTACAGAGAGAGCACGGCCTGGATGGCGACGTACATGGCGGGGGAGTTGAAGGTCTCAAACATGATCTGGGTCATCTTCTCCCTGTTGGCCTTAGGGTTGAGGGGAGCCTCAGTCAGGAGGACTGGGTGTTCCTCAGGGGCGACGCGCAGCTCGTTGTAGAAGGTGTGGTGCCAGATCTTCTCCATGTCGTCCCAGTTGGTGATGATACCGTGCTCGATGGGGTACTTGAGGGTAAGGATACCTCTCTTGCTCTGGGCCTCATCGCCTACGTAGGAGTCCTTCTGACCCATACCAACCATCACACCCTGGTGACGAGGGCGACCTACGATGGATGGGAAGACGGCGCGGGGCGCGTCGTCGCCGGCGAAACCGGCCTTGCACATGCCGGAGCCATTGTCGACTACAAGCGCAGCAACATCGTCGTCGCACATTTTGGCGTTTGTATTTGGTTTGGGACGCGGTGGATGTTGACTCTACGGCAGCGAGACTGCGAGTGCGGCGAACAGCGGTCGGGGAATCTTTTATAGGGGCAGCGGCGCAGACGCCGCGCGCCATACATGGCGAGCGCGCCGGCCCCCTCGCGCGCTCAGCCCCCGCCTTTCTTTCAATATTTCACACTAACATATTGTCTTAAATACATCTTATCATCCCTAAGGTACGTCTTAGGGTTAATAAGAGGGTTTTAAGTCAGTATTTTAGAGTAAAAGCCCGCGCGCCGTATGAGGCGCGGGCTAGCCGAAGCCAACGGCCCGCCCGCCTTGTGCCATTTCAGGCGATGGGCGGACGCAGAGATTGAACATTGATTATAAACTTTATTTCATTTTTAAGGTCTGTAAGTACTTTTAACCTGGAAATAAGAATCTCGTACCAGACCATCTTAATAAACATGTAATAATTAAAACATTAATTATAATTACAGAGTATAACAGGCACTATAAACAATATTGATAGCATTAAATGTTTCCCATGCCGTAATAATTGATATATTTTGAATTTTACTTAATTTAAAAAATATTTACGTAACACAGAAAAATAACTCTTAACTAGTTTTCATAAAGGCGATAATAGCACACAATATTACAACAGAGAAAATATTCGCAAACTATGGTTACTGGGTCAATAGAATGTAATAAAAAATCATAACTGAACACGTTTCAAACTGGTTAGGATAATTATGAATCATTGCAATTCACCACATCTTTATAATTAAGAAGTTCAAACGTATAAACTCGTGCAATATTTAAAATATTTCAAATGAAGTTTAATTTAACTGTGGTCCTTTGAGTCATATTGACTTGAATATCATCTATAGTAATCATGTATAGAATCATCATCATCATCATCATTATCATCATCTATAGAGTAACATATACGACACTCTAATAATATTATTTTTCTAACAACCATATAGAAAACTCCATACAATCTTCACTGAATACTGTATGGCTAGTCTGGGTGGTCCGGATATTAAAACGACTGTTAGTCAAGCGTATAGAACCGAAACAAGATACATGTTACAATTTAATACATGTGATTTATATAGCACTTCAACTCGTCATTGTCATTGTCACGAACGTCAACATGAAATTTGAAAGTGAATCGATTTGCTCATTCCAAGTTATAGATTTTTACGGAGAAGAACGAGCAAGAAACTCCATAGGTTACTCTTTTTCAATCAGGTTCACAATACAATTTGCTAGTTACATAATGTAAGACATACATAATTCGCTAATTCATCCGGAGCAGGTGAAGAGATCATTGCTGATTCCTTCACAACGATGTTTGTGAAGAAGTCTTTACCTAATATCGATGTAGTTTAATATGATTTACAATTTTAATGTATAATAGGCAACTAGCTTTCCATCTGCAGATTCGTCGGCTTCGAATTAGCATTTTCTATCGAGTGGATGCTGATTATATCGAGATAGTAAACAGCATGTAATACTCTCGAAAAAGCGAGTTAACTCTAACACTGAACATTTTTTAAATCAAATTCATAGGATTTAAATTAATGAGAGCAACAAAATAATTATTGTGCACTGTAATACAATTACGTAATAATGTTCAATATAATTTTCATAACAAAATTAGCAATCTATGTTGTTAATTAGGACCTACCAAATTATATGTCATTTATCTGCATTAGTTTATTTGAATTAGTGCTTTGGTCGTATATTCTCATAATATGAATAGGAAGAGCACATCATACTATGTGTCTTGCAGCTGTTGCATTAAATTCTAGGTATATGTAAATATCTACATCAAATTAATAGCAGTCTATGCACATGCATGGGTAGGACCATAGCAAAATTCTGTTATTTTCCTAACAGGCTGGCCGAGTTGTCCATAGTGTCCATCTTGTTTTCATTGTGAGAGTCAAAAGTTAAAGTCAAAGCATTTATTTTAATTAATCCTTAATATTCACCAGTCAATCTGTTTGTCATCATGTTTCTATATATGTATATAAAAATGAAACCCGTTTCCCGTTGTCACGCAATAACTTGAAATTGGCTGGACCGATTTGTTTGATTTTTTTGTTGTTTGTTATTGTCAGAAGAAAAAAAAAATCATGAAAACCTTATGGGAACGGGAGAAAACGGGATTGCGCGTACGAAGTCGTGGGCAGAAGCTAGTGTTCATTATAATAATGTTCTTCTTAATATGCCTTATGTAATCTTCGTGTTTATTAGAGAGATACGACATGCGTGTAAGAGACATTACAGAACACATTCAATTCATCTTTTGTACTCTAAGCAACCTCTTGCAATTTAAACTGTCTTACACCAAGCGGTCACCGGTGACCGCAACCTATAGTTGTGTCTATAATGACGGTACTCGACGAGTTAATTTAAATAATATACCCCAGTTTTGACTAGTAGACGAGGCGCCTTACAGTCTAATAAGAACAATAACACAGGATAAATATTTACTTATATCGAAAATCTACAAAAACCAGTTATGAAAATAAAATGAAAACACTCCCAACAAATCTTAAATAAAATCAAACCAATATAATACAATAAATCTGTATCAAAATTCACCAATAAATTATTTGTACGTAACAAACGCAATCCACGCGAAATTTCACAAAATACCTTTACCTCGTCGTACCGGTATTCAGGTACTATGTAATTGATTTACTGAAACTATGTTCGACTAATTGATCACACGATTGAATACTTCGTGGTCGCTCGATTAATGTTACAGGTGTGAATGGGACGCATATATAATGAATAGGGGACTTTAGGCGGTGATGAGACGTAAAGTATGTGGTTTTTTGTGCAAGTTTTGCAAATTGATAATATATTGTAGGTATTTTTTTTTTTTAAGGGGGGAAAATCATCGAATGACTGCTCCCGCCTGGGTGAGGCGGGAGGGAGTGTCAGACTCTTACTGACTAAAAACCACCCCGTTCCTTCTCCTGCACGTCGAGCCGGAGCCCCGGTTACCCGTTAGGTTCTCCGCGAC